AATAGATGCAGAAAAAGGCCTTGGCCAAAACTCAGCATGTGTTCATGATAAAAGTTCTAAAGGAAATTGAACCGGAGGGAACATAGCACAACATAATTAAAGCTATATGTGACAAACCTACAGCCAGCATCATTCTAAATTGAAAAAACAAACGGGAAGCATTCCCATTAAAATCAAGAACCAGAGAGGGCTGTCCACTATTTCCACTCCTTTTCAAAATAATGCTTTGAAACTCTTACTAGAGTAATAAGAGAAAGAAATTAAAGGAGTATTAATTGGAAAAGAAGTGGTCAAATTTATGCCTTTTTGCAAATGATATGATACTATACCTAAGGGATTCTTAGAATTCCACCAGAGAACTTCTAGAACTGATCAACACTTTCAGTAATGTGACAGGTTACAAAATTAATCTACAAAAATCAGTAGCCTTACTATATATCAATAACAAGCAATCAGAGACAGAGCACAGGGAAACTCTTGCATTCAAAATAGCCTCAAAAAAAAAAATCTTGGAATAAACCTGTCAAAAAACTTCAAAGATCTCTACATTTTTTTTTTTTTAAATCTTTAAACAAAGAGATTGAGGAAGACACCAAGACACCATGAGATGGAAGAACCTCCCATGCCCATTGATTAGGAGAATTAATATTGTGAAAATGACCATCCTACCAAAAGTAATATATAGAGCCAATGCAGCCCAATCAAAATCCCCATGACATACTTCATATAATTAGAAAAAAAAATCTTTAAATTCATATGGGAGCACGAAAGACCCCAGATAGCCAAAGCAACCCTGAGTACAAAGAGCAACACTAGGGGAATTACTATATCAGATATCAAAGTGTACTACTGCAGAGCTACATAGTCATAAAAACAGTATGGTACTGGCACAAAAATAGACACAGATCAGTGGAACATAATTGAAGACCCAGTCCTGAGTCCATGCAATTTCAGTCACCTGATAATTGACAAAGGTGCCAGGAACACACAATGGAGGAAAAGACAGCACCTTCAACAAATGGTGCTGGCAAAACTGGATCTCCACCTGTAAAAGAATGAAACTAGATCCCTATCTTTCACCTTTCACAAAACAAATGGATTAGAGACCTCAGTGTGAAACTGAAATTCTGAAACTATTAGAAGAAAACATTGGCAATAACCTACAAGATATAGGTGTAGCAAATGATTTTCTAAATAAGACACCAGTTGCTCAGGAATGAAGCTCAACAATCAACAAGTGGGACCTCATAAGACTACAAAGCTTCTCTGTAGCAAAAGAAAAAAGTGAAGAGAAAACCCAGAATGGGAGAAAATTTTCACCATTTGACACATCTGACATCCAGAATATATAAGAAACTCAAAAAACAAATGACCCAATTAAAAAATGGGCAGAGGATCTAACGAGAGAGTTCTCAAAAGAAGAAATAAAGATGGCTATTAAACATCTTAAAAAGTGTTCAACATTGTTAGTAATTAGGGAAATGCAAATTAAAACCACCTTAAGATTTTTGTCTTACCCCAGTCAGACTGGCTAAGATCAAGAGAACAAATGATACCAAATGCTGGCGAGGATGTGGAGAAAGGGGAATGCTCATTCACTGCTGGTGAGATTGCAAACTTGTGAAACCCCTATGGAAAGCAATGTGGAGAACTCTTAAACTAAAAATGAACCTACCATATGACCCACTCCTTGGCATATACCCAAAGGACTCATCCTATTGCAGAGATACTTGTACAACCATGTTTGTTGCTGCTCTTTTCACAACAGCTAAGAGAAGGAAGCAACCAAAGTGTCCCTCAGCCTATGAGTAGTTAACGAAAATGTGGTGCATTTACACGATGGTGTTCTACTCAGCAGTAAGGAAAGATGAAATGAAATTTTCAGGTAAGTGGATTGATCTAGAAACTGTTATACTAGATGAAGTAACAGATTCAGAAAAACAAAAGATGTGTGTTCTCCCTCATTTGTGGATCCTAGAACCAAATCCTTATAAACAAGTATCCCAGTCACCACCCATCATTGTAATCATCTTATGTCAACAGACAGAGGTTACTGCAGAGTCACACCACTGGTTACACGCAGAGATGTGAATTGCCCAAGCCTAAGTGGCACCTCTAGGATGCAACCTCTACACCTAATACGGAACAAAGAACAAGGGATGAAGAGCACTAAGCATCTTTCAATTCTCATCAATGAAGCTCCCTTATGCAACAGAGGGCTAGGAACACGAAAGGCCATAAATCACCAAAACGTAGAGAATAAGAGTCAGCAGAGTGTGTGTCTTTGGACAGTACTCCTATATTGAGGTCCACCCACCTGGGCTCATAGATCATTGCGGAAGAGGGGGCATAAAGATTCTAAGGGCCAGTGCATGACCATCGGAAATGGTCCTACAGACACCTGGGACCCTTCTCATACAAACCTACAGCAATGGTGTCAGCATGCACAAGACTCATGGAAACTTAGGCAGACAAAAACTCAACACAGACCTGTGGAAATGAACAGCAAGCCCCAGTCTTAGTCACAGAGTTTTTGGCAGCTGATAACTGCTGGGTGAGAAAGAGCTGATCTTGAAGGAGAGACTCTAGATATGCTGACTAAACCCTGGTAGGTGAACTTGCACTGAGGGACATCTCAGGACACTTAACTTTACATTATAGGCCTTAATACAAATGATAGAATGTCTGAACTCCAGTGGGGAATATAGGAGGATGCCAAAGGGGAAGAGGGAAGGGAGTAAAAAGATGATTTTATATATGAAATATACAATTTAATAAAATTTTTTCCAAGAAAATTAATTTTTCATAGAATCCTAACCATTTCTTAAGAACTAATTTTTTCCAGTAATCTATGGTCAACTTTTATGTTGCTTTCATTTTAGTCTTATTTACGATTTGCTAAATGTTATACATCATGAGTTTCACTGGCAGTTTTTAATGCACATAAATATATTAGAATTAGGAGCAGTTACTCTTAATATCTTTGCTCTCCCTGCCAGTGTTCAAATACAGGAATCCAATTTCCCTCTGATTTGTTGTGCTTCATAACTTAGCCCTCTTTCATCATGTTGAAGGATAATTTTTCAAAAAATTTCTTGTAGATATAAAATGTTTTTTTATTAGAGATTAAATAACTGATTATTAAGGCCTACGTGGTCTACACAGCCAATTCCAGTCTAGCCAAAGCTACATAATAAGACCTTGTCTAAACAAAATCAAAACAAATACCAAAAATCTGACTTTTAGGGGCTGAAGAGATGGCTCAGTAGTTAAGAACTCTTATCTTGCAGAGCACCTAGGTTCGGTTCCCAGCACCCACATGGAGTCTCACAGTTATCTATAACTCAAGTTCCAAGGGACAATACCCCTTTCTGGCCTCTATGGGCAGATGGCATGCACATGGTACACGTACATACATGTAGGCAAGTATCCAGACACAAAAATAAATCAATGAAAAAATTAAAAATAAGCCAGGTATTGTACACATGCCTTTAATCCCAGTACTCAGGAGACAGAGGCAGATGGAGCTTTGTGAGATTGAGGGTAGCCTTATCTTTATAACAAGTTTCAGGCCTGCTGGGGCTACAGGGAGACCCTGTTTTAAAAAGAACCAAACAGAAAACAAAAAAAAAATCCTATAATATTAAAATAAGAAATTTAAAACATTATTAGGGCGCATTGAGAAGATGATTATGAGATGTTCAAAAGAGAAAGGAACAGTCACATCTCTGGTGAGGAATGTTGATATGAATGTGCAGATGGAGGCAGAACTGACTTCTTCCATAGTAGGCTACAGGGTTTCCACTCAGGTGATTCTTCTGCTGAGGGAATTTATATGACTACAGAAAATTGTTTTCCATGACTATTGGTTATCTATAACTTACAGAGGTATAGCCTGAAAGCGATGGCTAGACTCATAGAAGAGTAGCTTTAGATACTTCTGTACAGAACCTCATTCCGGTGGACTCCATACCCCTCTGTATTGTGCTACAAGTGGCAGAAACCAAATGTTTTAAAAATTATATCATTGGCTGTCATTTGAAAAACATTTGGAGTATGAGTTTTTTCTAAAATTTTTACAGAACTTACAATATTATCTCGAACCATAGCATAAGTATTTAAGGCTATAGATAAGGTAAAACTACAGCTTCTTGAGCTATGTTTCATAATCACAAGTATATGTCCTAATGTTCACGCTCTGACAGGTATTCTAAGCATAGTATTAATGCATCTTTGTAATGATGACCTTGAGGTTAGGATTATGAAATTATGTTCAGAGGTGTTAAAGTGGTAGTAAAGATTGGTGTTATATATCCTAAGATAGGTGACCCTGACAATTATAAACGCTGGGAAACCGTCAAGAAATGTTAAGAGAAAAAAAGAATTATTTATTATAGCCCCACTTATCTAGGGCCTTCTGCTTTGGTATCAGTTACTGTAATTGTCTATGTCTTAGTTTCCTGTGTATCTTAGATGTTAGAAATCTTTTTGGTGTATTTAGAAAGTGTCAGTCACTGGGTGTGGTGGCACATGCCTGTAATTCCAGCACTTGGGATGTGAATTTGAGATCAGTCTGGGCTACATACTGAGTCCCTGTCTCAATAAAACAAAGCATAGCAGGTGAGAAAGTAAAATGGAAGGAGGAGGGAGGGAGGGAGAGAAGGAGAGAGGGAGGGAGATTGAGAATGATTAAACAAGTCAGTCAGTTCATCAATCTTTCATACTTTGGAAAGTCTCTCAAGAATATGGAGTTTGGGGAATAACCCAGAGTAGCAAATTATATCATGTATCCATGTTTGTTTTTGAAGAAGACTTAAGATCAGGGGAAACTTCTAAGCTGCTCCTAAGCCCTCTGTGATCTTCTGCTTGTGAGCTTTAGCATTCAGTGCAGGTGATTCCCTGGGATGCTGTGCTGAGCAGCTCTTGTACCTGCTACACCATTCGTTGTGTGTAAATGGTTCATGTTCATGCCATCCTTACCAGGTTCTTTTGAATTTCAGGTAAAAAACATCACAATGAATTTCAGTTTCTGGTGGATCAGGCCAAAAAAGGATACAAAAAAACTGGTGGAATGTCAAAAATGAAAGTAATGAAAAAAGATGAACCTATAGAAAAGCTATCTGTACACATTGGTAAGAGATCTGCTAAAACCAAAAGCATGGTGAATTTCATTATTTTTTATTATTCTGCGTGCGTGCATGTGTGTGTGTGAGAGAGAGAGAGAGAGAGAGAGAGAGAGAGAGAGAGAGACAGACAGACAGACAGACAGACAGACAGACAGACAGACAACTTGAGGGAGTTAGTGCTTTCTTTTTTTAACATGTGGGTCCCAGGAATCAAACTCAAGTTGTCAGGCGTGGTGACAAATGAGTTTACCTGCTGAGCCATCTCTCTGACCCTCATTGTTTGTTTTTATTATAAAATGAATATAAAACCAAAGGAATTTATTGAAGTTATTAGGTATTTGAAATGGAAGAAAAAAGCATAGATAAACTTAATATTGTTAACTACAAAGTAGCTTTATGATTCTGGGAAATAGAGTGGAACAAATGTCCTTAAGAGATAGTCTCTAAGCCTGTCTACCTTTTAGTTAATGGAAAGCAGTAAGTTCCTCAGTTATTTAAACTTATGAGAATCTTTTTTAAGTATAGGATTTATTGCTGGAGACCCTAAGATAACCTACAAAGAGAATGAATTGTTTTTGTTACAGAACTCTGGATGAAGTGCTCTGATAAACAGTCTAAAGCTAATGCACTTGGTATGCCAAAACATGACTTAATTTTGATCCATTTTTAAATTTGAGATTATATTTCTATTATTAAAACTTTGGGCCAGTGAGCAAAACAATCAATGGGGAAAGGTGCACAAGAACATTCTTTACTGTTTTGTCTTTGTTGCGATAAAATGCACATACCACCATGTATATTTTTCACATTCATAAATGCATACTTATTGCTACTAAATACCTTCATAGCACTATTAAACTGCTACTGCTATCTACACCCAGAAACTCTTCACCATCCACAGTACAAACTGCTCAGTTCCTAACTTCTCTCCCTTCTGTCACATAGCCTAGGTAATCCCTATTGTACTTTTTAATCTATAAATTTGCTTGCTCTAGGTAGCAATGTAAGTAAAATTATGCAGTGTTTGTCTTCCCATTTTAGTATATTTTTCTAAGTATGTTTTCATTGTTCAACAATGTTGTAGTGAATACTAAAATTTTATTCCTTTTTATGACTTCAATAATATTCTATAGTATGTATGCATGCTGTTTCATTTACTCATTTATCTGAATTATTTCACCCTTTTGACAATTGTGGTGTTTCTCTGTACAGTTTCTCAAATATCTGCTTAAGTCCCTGCTTTCAGTTCTTTTGACTCTAATGTTGGACCTAGTTTCATTCCTGTTGCTGTGGTAAAACACTGATCAAAAGCAACTTTATGGAGGAAAGGGTTTATTTGGTGTACAATTCCAGGTCATAGTCCATCATAGAAGGATTTGAAGGCAGGCCTGCTTGGTGTTCCATACAGCATTACCTTTAACTATAGAACTCATCAGCCAAAGCAGTACGGCAGGAACCATGAAAGTGCTGCTTGCTAGCTAGCTTTCTTATATAGCCCAGGACTACCTGGCTAGCTAAAGCCACTAGTCTTGCCACTAGCCCACAGTGGGCTGAGTCCTCTTGCATCAATTGATGATCAAGACAGTCCTCTACATAACATGCTCATGGGCCAGTCTGATCTAGGTAATTCTTTAATCGAGACTTTTCCTCTCAAATGACTCTAGGCTGTGTCCAGTTGATTGTTAAAGCTTACTGGGGCAATGTCTAAATGTGACTTCTGGTTCATATGGTAGTACTATGTTTAACCTTTTGAGAAACCATCAAATTATGTTGCACAATGGCTGCATTGTTTTACATTCCCATAGGCAGTGCATGTGAGTTTTCTTTTCTCCACACTCTGAGCAGCACTTGACTTTCCTTCTGGAGACCATCTTACTAGGTGTGAAGTATATGTCACCATGGCTTTAGTTTGCGTTTTCCTAGTGTCTAATGAAGTTGAGCATCTTTTCATGTACTTAATGACCATGTGTTTTTTTGCTTTGTAATGTATTCAAGACCTTTGCCCATTTTTAAATTAGGCTGTTTCTGGTTTTGTTTGAGCTTTAGGGTTTCTCTCTCTCTCTCTCTCTCTCTCTCTCTCTCTCTCTCTCTCTCTCTCTCTCTCTGTGTTTTACAGATATTTTCAGACACTCTTTATACTTTTTTGTTTGTTTTGGTTTTTTTGGTTGGTTGGTTGGTTTTGTTGTTTGTTTATTTTTAAAGAGAGGGTCTCCCTGTAGCTTCAGCTGACCTGGAACTCCCCATGTAGACCAGGCTGATCTCAATCGCACAGAGATCCATCTGCCTCTGCCTCCTAAGTGCTGAAATTAAAGATATGCACCATCACACCTGGCTCTTTGGGAGTACCTTTTATGCACAAAAGGGCTTAACCTATTTTTCAATATATTTTTTATTGAATTTTGTGTATTTCATACAATACATCTTAATCATATTTAAGAATCCCTCTCCTATCTATACCCCCCATAACCTGCCCACTGGATTTCATGCATTCTGTCATATATGTTAAGGGCTATTGAGTCAAGTTTCTGTACCCAGGTGTCCCTCATTGTGAGTTCATCCACTAATGTGAGTTCATCTGGAGCCTGTTTAGCTTCTCTAGTGTCACTTCCTTAAAGATCATCTCTCCCTCAATAGTTCTTCAGCTAAGGTTGGGACCGCCTGCCAATTTCCCCAGTTCTATGCTGGGTTTTTGTCTCATTGAGTTTGCATGGGTCTTGTGCATGCTGACATCATTGCTGTAAGTTCATTGAGCAAGTTCCCAGAAGCCTGGAAGTCTCTGTTTCCTATGGTCAATGGGCTATCCTTGTCTCCTACAGTCTTTCCACTACCTCTTCCACAATGGGCCCTGGGCCCTGCACGGGTGAGATTTAATATATGAGGCCAATCTGCTGTCTCATATTCTCTATTCTTTGGCCAGTTGTGGCCTTTTGTGAATGTACTTATTAAGTGCAGTTTATTTTTTCTTTTTTTGCCTGTGCTTTGGTGTTAAATATTTGAAGGCATTGCCAAATACAAAGTTGTGCAGATTCTTCCACCTTTGATTTCTTTCAGAAAGTTACAGTTTCAGCCCATATTTTTGGATATTTGATCATTTTATTTTGATTTTTATATATGGTGTGAGATAAGTGTCCAACTTGGTTCTTTTGTATGTGCATGCCCAGTTGTTCTCACCACTATTTGTTAAAAGTCTTCTTTCTCTGCTAAATGCTATTTATGGTCCTGTTAAAAATCAACTGATCCTGTCTGGAGCTATGGCACATGCTTGTCATCCCAGTACTCTTCAGTGATTGTAGATAGGAGGATCATGAGTTTGAGCGCGTTCGCCTACAGAGCAAGAATTTGTTCTCCTGCAACCCCTAAAAGAAACCCAAAGAAGCAAAAATCCAACTGACCATATAAAGATTTATTTCTCTAGTTCTTATTCTATTCTTTTGATATGTGTATCTGTTCTTATGCCTGTACCACACTGCTTCAATTATAGCTTTATAATAAGTTTTGAAGTTGGAAAGCATGAGTCCTTTGCCTTTAATTTTCTTACTCATTATTTGGCTATTGAGGACCTAGAGATTCCATGTTAATTTTAGGTAGTTTTTTTTTTTTTGTAAAAACTACTGTTGAGAATTTTATGTTGGATTATATTGAATAGCTTTGTGTAGTGGATTACATTGATTCTATAGGTAGCTTTGTGTAAATGTCTTTCCATTTAATTATATGTTCTTTAATTTCAGAAGTTTCACAGCGTTCAGCAAGCCAAGTTGTTTTTCTTTATTTCACTGGATTATTTCTGAGTGTTTTATTCTAGGTGCTGTTGCACTCCTTATTGCTGTCCTTAGGTCTCCTGGCACCTTTCAAAAGTTAGTTGCTGTCTCAGTGTATACCTCATGATCTTTAAACAACTTGGACTTATTCATGTAGCTGTTAAAGAACATTCTTAAAAACTAGTTTAGTTCTTAAGAAACCTGATGCAATATTTCCTACTAGAAGAGAACGTTTTCTGTTTATTAGTAGAATCTCTTGGATATATTGGTTGCTTGTGCTAGGGGATTATTGCATGTGCATGTACACTTAAGTGCTGTAGTCTGGGCTTCAGAGGTGATTGATGCTGTTGGATTGCTGTGGGTGAGTGGAGATGTGTAAGAGGCGAGAAGTGGAAAAGGGGAAGGCAGGCTGGAAAGGTGGACTTTGTGTAGTGTCAACAGTGAGTGCAACTGATGTTCTTTAGAATAAACTTGAAGTGTCCTATTAATGAGCAAGATGTGAACGCTCTCGAGAGCAAACTAGCTTGTTTTTGTTGCTTATTTTAAGGCAAGTCTGATGTCTGAGCCTCATGTTTGGGCTGTTTGAAGTCCTGAATTCCAAGGTGTAAGGGCAAATAGGAAGAATAGCTGCCTTAGTGCTCACCAACTGTTATGTGATATTTGTCCCCAACAGTATTTTATCTTCTATAAACTAATGTGAGAAGGGAAAAAGAGAAGAATGTAGTTAATGCACAAAAACCAAAGGTTTTTGTGAGTTGAGTCCCTGTTTCCTGACCTTCCAGCTTGATTGCGTTCTTCCCACCTCAGAGTAATAGAATTGCCTGAATGTGGGGTTTCCCTCAAGGTGCTACTTGTTACCTGTTTACAAGAAGATCTGGATGCTCTGGAAGGTCACCTGGCTAGTGCCCTCTTCTCCTCTCCCTGATGAACTGTAGAGGATGTGGCTTCATTTTGGTAATGATACTTATTGGTAGTCAGTGACATTAGGCGTTTAGGAATGCGGTTTTTGCTGTATAATAAAAGCTGAGTCATTTCTGGAAAAATTTTGAGCATATGAATTCTGCAAAGTGGGTTTGGGTTTGCTTTTGTTTTTAAGGAATTTGTCTCATTCTTCTTCCATAAATTTTCTCTGCTAACAAAGCCTTAACAGTTTTGTTTGTTCATTTATTTACTCATTTTTCTGGATCTTAAAGATAAAATAGGAAAATCCCAATGGTGCTGACCCACATTGTGAAAGAGTCCTAGGCAGTAGAGGGTTTTGAATAGCTAGTGTTTTTTGCACTCATATTTTCAGACTTCTGGCTATGCTTTTATATCATCTTCTTTCAAATATCTTGAGGTTTTCCTGAATCTTTATCTGTAAAAAGAAACTTCAAAAACAGAATATGACAAAGGATGTATAGAAATGTGACATATATCAGAACAAATGGAGATCTTTTTAATTTCTATTTTTAATTTTTTGAGACAGGGTCTCCCTGTCCAGCTGGCCTGGAACTCACTATGTAGACCAGGCTGGCTTTGAACTCACAGAGATCTGCCTGCCTCTGCCTCCCAAGTGCTGGGATTAAAGCCATGAGCCACCACGCCTGGCTTATAGTGAATAAATTTTACTTAACAGATTAAGTGTCCATAGACGTTCACTGTCATTTAATGATAACAAATACTGCGATTCTCTTACTGAGTTTTTGTCTTGTTAACTTGTTAATGTTCTCTAATTTTTGAAATAAGTAATGATTATTCCTTAGTAATCTGCTAATAAAAACTTCATTAGTATTATGGTTATTCCTTCTGGTTTTAGAGAAAATTTTATTTTTAAATGCATTAATCTTAGGAAAACATAACATGAACAGGCTAATTAGTCAGAACTGCAATGCTGATCATTCTGTAGTTTCAAAATAAGTGTTTTATTGACTTCTGTTTTATTAAGTAGAAATAGCAATATTAAGTGTTTCAGAAATGATAAGCTTATATATGTTGTATAACTATGTTTCTTTTCTTTTTCTCTCTTAAAATTTCATCTTCCTTTTTTAGGAGAGGAAAATGATAAAATGAAATTCTCACATATGACCTCAGTAACAAGCTACTTCCCTCAGTCCAAGCTGGACTCCCCTGTGCAGTCAGAACCTGAGAGGCCAGATGACTCCTCTAGTTGTACTGACATTCTCTTCTCATCAGAGTCAGATTCGTGCAATAGGTAAGAGATGTGTAGAAACAAGTTCTGTTTCCTCTGTCCTAGTCATTCTGCTGTTTTATGACAAAATACTCTGACAGAATCAACTTAGGGAGAAAGGCCACTGTTTGAGGGTCCAGTCCATCATGGTAGGGAAGTCATGGTGGCAGGAGCATGAAGCAGCCAGTCCTATTGCTTCCACAGTCAGGGAGAAGAGAGCGATGAATGCTGCTGCTTGGCTCATTGTTTCTTTTTTATGCAGTCCGTGACTCAAGTTTAGAATGGTCCTGCCCACTTTTAGGATGGGTCGTCCCATCTCCGATAACTTAAGATAATCAATCCCTCACTGGTGTGTCTGGAGCCTGGTCATCTAGGTGCTTCCAGACCCTGACAGAATTGACAGAAACAGTATCAGCCATCACACTATGAATATGTAAATTATAGACAGAAATGATTAGTAGATAGTTTCATGGTATAGTTTGTCAGTTTTCTTCCACTTCAGTTTCTGTTCATTGCTGGGTCATCTTCACAGTGATAGCAAGCCAGGATATGGGAGGATAGTGTAGTGACCATCTGGTGACTTTGTTTCCTTTTCTAACTTGAAGTTTTTTTTTTTTTAATTTTTAAAATTATTTTTATTTTATATGTATGAGTGTTTTGCCTGCATGTGTGTAAGTGCACCCATGTTGTGCAGTGCTTGTGGAGGTCAGAAGAAGGCATTGGATCCCCTGGAACTGGGGTTTTGGACAGTTGTTAGCTGCCATGTGGGTGCTGGGAATTGAACCTAGGTCCTCTGCAAGAGCAGCCAGTGCTCTGGACAGCTGAGCCATCTCTCCATCCCCTCTACCTTGAAGTTTATATAGGTCTTTTTTCTAGAATTGGAAATGAAAGCATGATAGACAGTGATTTTTGTAGAAAATGCATGCATAAAGGGGACGATCAGAAAATGGTACATAGGAAAGAAAAGTAAAAAGAGAGATTTAACTCGTAAATAGAATAGATTAGGAGAATTTTTGTAAATTGAAGATTTAGTGATAAGAGGTTTTAAAATTTTTTTAGACAGGGTCTCCCTGTAGCCCCAGCTGCCTGGAACTCTATGTAGACTGGGCTGGCCTCAGTTTCACAGAGATCCTCCTGTTTGTAACTCCCAAATGCTGGGATTAAAGGTGCTAATCGTGCCTGACTTGGTGAGGGATTTTTAAAACATGATTGTATTAGTTTTTTTTTTTTTTTTTGGTCTTTTTTGAGACAGGGTCTCCCTATAGCCCCAGCTGTCCTGGGAACTCATTATGTAGACCAGGCTGGCCTTGAACTCACAGAGATCTGCCTGCCTCTGCCTCCCAGTGCTGGGATTAAAGGTGTGGTGCTACCACACCTGGCTGTATTAGTTACTTTTAAAACATGATTGAATTAGTTACTTTTCTTATTGCTGTGGTAAAATTCCTGACAAAAGATACTGAAGGAAGGAAAGGTTCATTTTGGCTCATGATTTGAGGGTGTAGCCCGTTATGGCCAAAAAGGAAGGTGCAGCAGGAGTTTGAGGTGGCTGTTTGTTTAGCATCCATAGGCGGGGAGCAGGGAGAGATGAATGCTGCTGCTCAGCTCATTTTCCTTTTTATCCAGTCATGCCCCCGCCTACAGAATAGTGCCGCCCACATTCAGGTAGGCCTATCTCCTTAGTCAACCACTCTGGAAATGCCCTTACAGACATGAGCAGAGGTGTTTCTCCTAGAGGATTCTCTATCTAGTCACATTGACGATCAAGACCAACCATCACAATTGGAGACTGAAGAGATGGCTCAGCAGCACTGCCTGCTTGTCCAGAGGACCCAAGTTTGGTTCCCAGCACTCCCATGGTGGCTCACCAACTATCCTTAACTCCAGTTCCAGGGTATCCAATGCTCTCTTTTGGCCTCTAAGTGCATGTGGTGCACTTAACATACATCCAGGCACAACACTCTCATACACATCAAATCAGTTTCCACCAGGGATTATCTCCCTGAGGGGTTATCTAATTCCAAGTGGGCAGCCCAAAACTCAGGTACACATGAATACCACTAAATGGACTCAGTGATATATAAATCTAGAAATGTACATATGTATCTGTAACAATAATAATCAAAGAAGAGGTCAAGAAATTGGGGAAGGAGTGGGGGGCATGGGAAGAGTCAGAAGGGGTCTGGGATGGATGGAAATAATGCAAATATAAATATGTATGCAATTTTCAAAAATAAAAAATCTTTTGCACATAAAAAAATGAAATAATTTATAAAGGAGTAACCATCACAATGATGTATTCTAAAAAGATGGTACAAGTTTATTTTATCCGCACATACACAAACATGCATACACATACACTCACACTCAAAGCTACATACATGTTGTGCTCTGGTGTTTGACTTTAAATTGCAGGTTGGGCCTCTGCCTCTCTGCCTCTGCCTCCTGGAATTAAAGGCCTGAGCCACCACTACTAGTCCAGCAGTCAGATACTTTTGAGAATGCTGTGCTCCTTTTGTTCTTAATACTTCAGAGAGAATGTTTTTGTGGAAAAATACAAATGATGTAGATGCTGAGCAAAACTTGAGTCAGGTATGAAAATATTCCAGAAATACTTTAACTAGTTTCAGTTACATTTTTATACATGCACAACAATGGCATTAAGAACGTATATTGAGAGTAGAGCACTTGGTAACAAGCATGTGGGCTGGAAGTTTGTATCCCAGAACCCACATAACCAACTGGCCAATTACAAAGGCTGTAACTTCAGCTCTGAAGAATCTGAAGCTCTCTTCTGGTTGCCCAGGTGCACACACATATACATATATACATACATACATACATACATATAAACATACAAACAATAAAATCAATCTTAAACACCCTAATTTTTAAAAAGCTATCTGGGTCTACATAGTGAGTTCCAGGCCAGCTGGGACTACAGGGAGACCCTGTCTCAAAAAGACCAAAAAAAAAAAAAAAAAACCTGTCTGGATATATATATATATATAAATCAAATTTTCTAAGGTAGAAGTATTAGAGCTAAATTGGCCTCAGTTTTTTCCCCCTCTAATTGTCATAGAAAATAATGCTTTCCTTGCCATCAGCATTGTCTTAGACTTTGAAATGCAGCCTCTGAATATGAATAAGGTCCCTGACTTATTCCAAACATAATTTTCACCATCCTAATTGGAAATCATAAAGTACTTTGTAATGCTGGTTGATGGTAGCCTGGCAGAAGCCTGTCATAGTATAATGACCCATTGGTTTATGCCAGTATCATTTAGTGACTCCAAACTTAGTCAAAATAGATACCATTTGACTAGCATACTATCACCACACAATTCAGGAGAAGAATTCAAAGTGAGAAGAGACCAGTGAAAACTTAATTTTTCTAGTAAAATCCTAGCATATCGGAGGTCTGGGGTTTTTATTTGTTTTGTCGTTTTTCATGGTGTTCAGGCACCAAAAGGAAGGGGATTGGGTACTGAGGTGACAGGTGAGGTCTTCTGCAACCCTGAAGTTGTTAATCCTGTTGTTTTTGACAGTAGGGTTGGTAAGTGATCTGAATGCCCATTTACTACTTAGCCACTATAGGTCATAAATAAACCTAGAATTATATTTATTTCTTACATATCGAAGTGTTTCTTTTGCATTTTTAGAAAAAAATTTCCATTTTTTTTCATTTTCTGTTCTTTTTTAAATTTGTTTTTATTGAATTTTTGTGTATTTTGTACAGAATATCCCAAACAATTTTAATCATCTTTATGCCCCCATCCTCACTGGCACCCCCCACCCCCCACTGGAGCCTATATACTCTGTCATCGTGTTAAAGCCCAATGTGTCAAGTCAGTGACCCCAGCCATTCCCCAGTGCAAGTCCATCCACTGAGGTCTAGTTAGCCTATCTAGAGTCTCTTGTTTTAGGAAGATCAGCTCTTCTTCACCTAGCCATAATCAGTTGCCAATGTTCAGCTAAGATTGGGGTCTACTGTTCATTTCCCCAGTTTTATTATGGGTTTTTGTCTGCCTGAGTTTGCATGGGACTTGATGCTGATACTGTTGCCATAGAATCATATGAGCAGGTTTGCAAGAACTTGTAGGACTCTGTTTCCATATGGTCATGCACCTCCTCCCTGGCCCTTACAATCTTTCTGCCCCCTCTTCCAAGATATTCCCTGAGCCCTGGGTGGGTGAAGTTTACTATAGGAGTCCTGTCCAAGGATCAGCATTCAGTAGACTCTTTATCTCTACATTTTGGCCATTTGTGACCTTTTGTGTTCCTGGCCGTCTGTTGCATGAGAGATCTTCATTAATGAGAATTGAGAGATATTAGTGTCATCTTCATTATCCAGGTTCTATGTTCCTTACACCTTAGGTGTAGAGGTTGCATTGTAGAGGCACTCAATGGGAGGAAACTCAAGTGTGGTACTGTAAATATAACCAAATACACATGGCTGGAGTGGTCATAGATCTTAGAGAAAATCCCAAGACTGTCACATCCCTAGAGTAATGTAATTTCTTGCTATGTGCAAAAGATGTATCCTTATATTTACAGACAAACATCCCAGTCACCACTCATCAAAGAAGCTTATTTTGCACCAGTTGGAGACTCTTACCAAGTACCACAAGTGTTCACACACAGACATTTATCTATGCATTGCCCAGTCCTAAGAGACACATCTATAAATTTCCATTCTTCTAATGACTGTTTTATTTTCATTGTAAAACCCTACATTTTCAAAAATACTTTAAAAATTACATATTTGTTTATTGTGAAAAATAGAAAAATTGAATTAAAAGAATAAAATTTCATAACTGTTTTGAAATAACAGCATTAGCACATTCATAAATGTGCTCTCCCACAGGTAAAGGTGTGGGTAGATAGATAAAAGCAAAACAGGATGATACTGTTTTCAGTACCTTTCTTTATAAAGGAAAGGTCGTGTTGTAGGTCTAATGTGAGTGGAAATAAGTTGTGAATTGCCTTTTTTTTCATACAGTCTTGCTATTGTGCACAGTATAGAT